CGCACACGTTTCGAACTTCACACAATGAACTAGTCTGAACTGAACTAAATAATGTGGGTAGATTTGGTTTTTAGAATTGAATGGATCTGTATTAGGCCGAGTACTTTTCAATCCACCTAGGTACACATATATAAATATACAGTGTCTCTCACATAAATATTCAATTCAAATTCTTTGCTATTCTTGTTGTATACGTTTGGTATTAATTATAAAAAATAGTTCAAAACAAAAACCCTGCCAGGGCACTGCAAGTATTGGCAATCATTAATATTATTGATATTACATTTACATTATGGTATTATTAATTAAAATTAGCAATGAATGAATATTTACAATTAACTTAAATATTAACGAGATCATACTATAATATTTATTCCTATTTCCTACTCAATCACTAAAAAACTCTTGCAACGAGAAATAACAATTTTTCGCTAAATATTCATTAACTTCCTTTTTGAACGTTTTTTAGGCTTTTAGTGATTTTGATACATTCTAGTATTTTATTATATATTTTTATTGACATTGCATAGGGGCCGGTGTTTACGAAATGTTATTTTGATGTAGCTGTGGATAATATTAAATACGTAGATCAGCATATAGTTGTTGGTTATAAATTTGAACGTTTGAATACGACAACTCCCGTCGACGTATTGCGTACAAACCGACGCCGGATACAGAACAGTGACAACGTGAACGACTGGGACTTACGTGTTGTTTGCAATTGCATCCTAGACTAAACATGTGCTTTAATTTTAAGTCAGTTTTGTTATTGATATTGCTTGTATGCGAACATACTTAAAGAAACTTTGTTAAATATTCAACAAACTTTAACATTATAATAAAAATGAAAAAATTACAGTGATCAATAAAATATCATGATCATTCTGCGGCGTCCTGTGCGTGGCAGTCATGTGAGCATTCCTGGAGGTCTTGTTAACAGTGAACCATAATGTGGTTGACACTTCTCCCATAGATTTATATGTAATAAAATATGCTATCAGCTGTTTATGTATTAATGGTTACAGAAACATTCATTTTTATTTTACACAAGCAATTTTTCTTGTCGTGGAGGCAACCGAAAATAACCTAAACTTAAAAGACTAATTTATTTATTCTTTACTACAACTTTATCAAATTAAAGATTACACAGGGCGGACTTACTGCATATTGGTATTCTCTAACAATCAACTCTGAAAGTGATGAGAATGTGTGTGGCAGGTACAACAAATCATTTAAAATTTTTATTTCATTTGTAGAATAAGTATACAAAACCTGTTCTGTACGTAAATTGTAACCACTACAATTTTGTGGTCAGTTTACCTATTTCGCTTTTTGTTGTTCTGATATCATTTGACTCCGGTTAAGTTTTAGTTTTGACTAATTAGGACGTCGGCGGAAAATGGATATCACCTACAAGGCGAGATCTTCAGCTTGTAGAGCGGCCAGCACTTTGTTAGCAGGACAGAGTTCATTAAGTAACTTTGATAGTATAGTTCAGTCCACTTAAATATTAATTTTCGGGTCTGAAAATTATTACTTTTCTCGTCTTGATAAATCATGATATGATTACAGAGGACGCTAGTAGAATTTTAAATTTTCTTAAAATAATTAGGTGGAATAGTTTGTGTAAGCTCTTATAATTCTGGTTTCATCTCGAAATATTAAATTTCCAGGATATAATCACTACCAGCTCAAGAAATTTACGCAATTACCTCATCCTTTTAAATGGCTTGTAATTTATGAGTCATTAATAATATATACAATAAATATATTAGTAATGAACGATCTTTTAACGATCGTGATAACCTACTGGTATTATAGAGCCTTTTTCCAGTAAATACAATTTAGGAATTCTAAGTTACTTCTAGTGATACACAAATGTTTCTTTCGTTTATTTCAGTCAATTAAAAGCTGCTTCCATAGATTGTTTTTTTTTTCGGGGATTTTGTCATAATTTTCACGTTTAGCAAGCGGTTTGGCAACCGCCATTTCTTATAACTATGAACTGTTATCAGGAACATGCTCTTTTTTCACGTCTATCCCCCCTATGAGTTGATTTTTGGGAGGATCTATGTTCCTCAGTGGACTTTTGATAGACTGTAATGAAAAAAAGATCTTTAAACATGCCTTAATTAAATAAACATCAACCTTGATAGCCGCCATCAATATATTAATATGACGCATGTGTCCAAACTGGCACAAAGAAGCAGCGGGAAAGCCTAAAACCTTAAACAAATAATTAATTTGTACACCAACATACATCGCCGCTCAGATATGGATATTGTGTATTTTAGTACACAGCATACATATAAAGTAATAATATTTTAAATTCTTTCTGAAATTAAATGAAACTAATTTTACGGATTTTATCGCGTTTAATTTTGACTTTTTATTTCCCGAAGTTTTGGGCGCTTTAGTGCTTAGAACCGATATTATACTTAAGCAGATAATAATAAGTGCTGAACTACTGATAATTTCTTCATACGGGATTCTTCGCGGTGTTAGTGTGAAATTCATGCCTTTCTATTCCTTCCTTTATTGTCGATTCGTTCAGTGTATGTTCTAATAGATTATAGACCGTGCCTTGTTTATAGATCGTGTCTGTGATCAACAGTTATGTTCAGATTCGTAGATAGAGAAACGTATAGACAAATTGACGCCTTCTTTCGCATTCGCACACGAAAAAGATAGATTTATGCATACGTCTTGCGTAGAAATGAGACAGAGCGGTGGGATTGTTTGTCCCTTTCTTCGTGCCGGTTGGTTTGTTTAGCAAACTACACTTTGCTAAACAGCTTTGACAGTTCGTAGCGATCTAAGGAGTTTACAAGTTGGTTTAAGTGAGAAAAGTGTTTTGTGAGCTTAAGATTGGTAAATCTTTTTCAGTTCAGTTCTTAGAACAATTAAAATTTTTATCTAAATATAAAAGTCATAAAGATTATTGTATAACCTAGAACTACGTTATCGTCCTTTCTCACTCGAGGCCACGCTAATCATTAGTCTATACGTTTCTCTGACTACGTTCAGATTCTACATTGACATTGATGTTTGGCATTTGATTTGATCGTTAATTATTGTTATATTTTATTTATGCATTTTTGCATTCATTGTATTTAGATGTTTCGCGTTTGCTTACTTAAGCACTTATTAAAATATAATTTCGTTGAAGCTGTTCTCACTTTACTGGAAAAAAATTCTATGGTATTATTTATGAATTGTAGATCGAACCATTTTTAATAAATCACCGTTCGTAACAACTTTTTACTTGCTTAATTTAAGATCTTAGCGCTTCCTTGAATGTTCTTTTTTGTTGACATTTTGACCCACGTAGGAATGAGATTATGGTCTCTGCATCATTTGTCATCAAATGTTATATACCTATCTTGCGCGCTTAGTTTTGAGATCTTATAATAGGCGAATTTTATTTGCTGTTACCAGTCCTTACTGAATCACAAATTAACTTCTTATATTTACACACATTAAATGAAACCGATTTTATCGCGTTTTATTTTGAATTTTCATCTCCTGACGTTTCGGGTCTTTACAGCTACCACAGTGACTGTGGGTGCTGTAAAGCAGCCGAAACTTCGGAAAATAAAAAGTCAAAATTAAACGCGATAAAATATGTAAAATTAGTTTAGTTCAATGTGTAGTGTCCGCGTTAATAAGGAAAATTTTTAACTTTTTACTTTCTGAAATATTTTTGTCTACCGCGTACGATAGTATGTAAAACTAAAAGTAAATGTAATGACCATCAGTTATGGGAGCCTATTAGTTTAACGCTCCTTAATAATGCTGAATAATTTATAGACATTGTTGTTTTAATTTAAACAGAAACATACACATTGTACATATTGTAATTGCCACCAATACATACCTAAATAGTTTGAGATTTCTTTTATAAAAATTCTAAGATCTTTTGTCTTAATCTCTATGTCTTTTATTGCATTCCAATTGAAACACGATGACAAAATCTAAAATATAAAGGAGTTCAGAACCGATACAAAACCGCGAAACAATATTCCAGCTGAATCATTCAATAATAATAACGTATCCGAGCGAGAAAGCACCTAATGTGCCCTGCGGGGTATATCCACCTTATATATATATCCAACTTATTATTATAAGATTTATTATCTTCAGGTATGTCTGTCTATAACAAATCGATAAAGAAATAACAAAAATAAAAATTAATCATATAAATTTCTTTTCAAATTTTGTCTATCTATCATGCCCCTTTCCAAAAATACATGGTGGTAGAATAATTATACTAAAGGCTTCTTTTTCGCATCTATCATACCCTATCTCTTTCTTTACGACAAAAAAGTCAGCAATGGCAACAATTTGGAAAATTACGCAATGGGTTTAGTCTCTATCCAAAAAATGAACTAGAATTTTAATACACATACGAGATAGAAACACCGAAGTTCTGCGCACGTGACACAAATACCGTCAAAGTTTTATAGTGATCATTAACTCCTTCATATCACAAAAATAAAATGTGTACTGTAATGACAGTTGATGTACTTGTATAGACCTTGCAATAACTCTTCTATTCCAACATACGCGTGTCATAGAACGTAAGCGGGTCTAGGAACCTACTAAAATTTTGGTAAATTTCGGTTTACCAAATACTAGCTGACCCAACAGACGTAAATCTGACGGTTAGGTGACGCGTTGAGTTTTATTCGCAATTTCTACGAACTTTTAACAATGTAAATATAAATTTTATAAATAAATTACTATGGTTTGAGTTCATGCTGTGAAAAGTTTTTCTTAAACATTATGTTTTTAAATTTAATTTTGAGAAAAGCATAAATTTAAAAAAATGAAGTTCCATTCCGCTTTTTATCAATTGGGTGTTTGCTTACAGGTGCACGATCCGTTCGCATCGTCAACATACGAGTACCGAGTGACGTCATTCAATATGGAACTAGAGACGCAATGATGCTGGATTACGTAACAACAACGTAACAGGACTAGTAGTAAAGTGGCTTTACATGGACCGATCGCAGCCTGTGTATCAATGGATACCTCCACAGAAACCTCAAGCTTTAGGTTTATTAAAAAATAAAGTTAGTTTTATTATTAAATTTAACGCCTAACATCAGAGCTTGCACTGCTGTGTTCTGGTCTGAAGGGTGTCGAAAGCTAAGACATTACAGGCTGTAAGACATTTCACCATACTCATCAGAACTGAAACCGCACCTGTAGCCTTCTTTGTTTGAAGTTGATTACAGGTTCCTCTGGGTTTCAGTAATCGCTTACCATCAGGTGGACTGTATATTCGCTTGTCACTTCAATTTCATAAAAAAAGAAGATATCAACTCTGAACGTGCAAAGAATCAATGAAAGGAAACTGAAGCAGGAGATGGACAGCAGCATTTTAATAGACCCCATCAGCCTGTTAAGCATGGAAAGCATTACAAATACCAGTGAGAATAGACTATGTTCAGTAGTCGTGAAAGCAAAAAAATCACAAGTGAACAAAAAATGGGCTGTAATTAATAAATTAATGAATATAAATCATTTATTGTGTACAATAATAGTTAAGATGTAAAGTTACGTAAAATAATTTTAGGGATGAATTGTAAGATGGATATTTCGATATACCATCGTTCGTGGGATATATTACAAGTTGAAAAAAAAAATCCTCGAAAAATATTGTGTGACAAAACCACCGTAATACTTTGTGCATTTTCTTGGCTCAATAGCGCAGTGCCCAATGCTTGGCTGTTGCGCCATAAGCTTCAATCCCGCACAGAACAAGTGTACATGGCCTGCTAACAATTATTCCGAGTCTGGATGTCTGTCAGTTTTTAGCTTAAAAAATTTAGTAAAACGATTTCACATCATAATTGAGAACAGTGCGAACAGAGTAACGTAGTTCTTATTATGTACTAATTTCTTCATAATTATAAAATGCTACAATTTTCTCTTTTCCTAATTCCAGTTGGATTTGTCATATAAAGTATCACACAACCCTTATACTCAACACAGAGCTTTGCGGATATTACAACCTGGGACAGAACTTATTGGAAATTATATGTGGGTTGTATCAACGTTTCTAGCCGAGGATGAAAAAACACGCCCCATGACAATTTTTGGTAAATATATTTTTATCTAGAGTTTATATGACTCATGCTACAACGATATTAGGTTTGAACCACAAATAATTCAGCTCGACTGAGGAAAACCACGCTCGGAGAACACTAGCATAAAAGAGCATTTTAATGCTGCTGTGTTACGTACGGTAAGTGAAAGGAAACCGGTGACTCTGCCGGGTACGAGGTATCTTAGTCCTCGGGGGTGACAACTTCTCCATTTTCATTCTAAATCGAAGATAGATGTAGGTGTGTCACAGCATCTTTTTTACTATCAGGTCGACTCTGTGCTTGTTATCATCCTTCTTGTTATTTAAAAAAATCATGTTTACTATATGCCATTAATGTTTTTTTCATGTTTACTACATCAATTATTACATTTCTGAGAAATAAGAAAAAAATATTTTTAAGAGAAACATGTGAAGTTTGCCAACACACACTGGGACATTCCTTTTCTCTAAAACCGTCTCAGAAAAGAGAGGGGGCTTGTGCCCAGCAGTGGGTCCTATATAGGTTGTAACTTATTACATGGCTGTTTTATTCACTAAAGTAAATTCCAGTTAGGAAGGAGTAGTAGATCAGTAGTTGTTAATCCTTCGCGCTGCCTCATGCGTATTGCCGTACTTCATAACATCATCTCGAATTTTTTTTTATTCCTCATTCATTCGGGTTTCCTATTGGTACTTGAGACTTCCGGTACTATGGGACAGAGTTATATCTAAAGAAGTGTTACGTAAAGTGTTGATGGCTAATCGGTATACACTAAAGCTGTATAGCTTATGTTTATACTGTAAAATATTTATTTTAATATTCTAAGATTGTTGTTAAATAAATAAAAAGGAACTATATGTTATGACAGATGGAGAAAGAAATAATATTATTACACAATTATTACCCAAAATAAAATACGTGTGGCACTTGGGGACTGCCGCGGTAAAGCTATTGCATAGCATTTTTATCAACTTATGCAATTATAATCATTTATTTATTTTATTTATGCAGTATTTTTTTCTTTGTTTCTTTCTTTGATATTAGTTCAAGTGTTTTCTTTGATATTAATTCAAGTTACACTTTTTGAGCGTGGTGACCGATAAGAAAACAATCTTTTTTTCTTTTATTGAATAAATGAGAAGTTAATATTGCTTAAAATATTTTTATTATATTACAATTAGAAGTAGGTTATTCAGGAATTTTTTATCATTGAAACTATAGGTTTATGGTCACTAACGAGTTCTTCCGACAAACGATAATTTTCTATGAAGTCTGTGTTTATTAAATACTCTAAATTCACGAAATTTGCTAGCATGAGGACGACTCATATAAATCCAAAGAATATGCTTCTTGCAATAAACTATATTATTGTTTAAAATATTTTTATTATCTTACAATACATGCAACTAGTCTACACGCATACATACGTCTGCCGAACTGAAACGAAGTTAGACGATGTTAGGTTTTCGCGTCTTAGGTTTATTTTCGTTACGGAATTTCTTGATTTTTGGTCGCCGCGCTCAAAGTCCGCGATAAAAGCCATGCAATAGCTTAACTAGGAAAAAGCCTATGCTTATCTGAGAGAAGTACATTAGATTTTATTTAGGCTCCTAGTTTTATTTGATATGATAAAAACACTAAATGCTAGTCAAAATAACATTATAATTCAACGCACCCATAATCAATTTTTTAGAGCTCATAACTGAACGTAGGCCTACATCAACTTGGGCTGATTAGTGAAATCCGCCACGTTCGACTAAGCTATGAAACGGTTTTAGGTCCTTTTCTGGCTAGAAATCCACACGGTGAAGTGCCCACCTCTGAGCTGCCAAATAGCTGTTCGTGAACTGCTGTGTTCCGATCTGAAGCCAGTTTAATTACAGGCTGTGATGCATTTCATTTTACGCATAATATGTGGCCATCTTTATTTGTAGTTCTTTGTAGGTGACGGCCGTACTTAGCCACTTTCTATCAGGTGGACTGTAAGTTTATCATTTCAATTTTATTAAAAAAAATCATACTGCGATCGCCAAACCGTCTGCCGCGCGAATCGAAGTAAAAGTAGCGCAAGTAGTTCCTAAAAGTAAAGAGGTGCATTCTTGTTCATCGACGAGTAAAACTACATTACTTGTAGAGCCAGATTTAAGATATTTAATATTTATTTCTTCTTCACTGGCCTGAATTATTGACCCATGAAGTAAAAAAGAAAAAATAGAGAGAAACGTTTAATTGACCAACACACAACATTAAGAAACATAGAAATTTATAGTACAAATTACAATTTGTTAGGTAACTATGCAGTTGTTTGCAATTTTCCGATTGTGTTATAGGCGTGCTTATTAATGCAACAATGCACTATGTCAGATGTGACAAAACGGAAATTACTTCGTGTAACTTTAACTTTACCCACCGTTGGCGCACCCCGCCTCGTGATAGTTGGCTGAAACTTAAACGGATAGGGGGAATAAGCGTTTAGTGTATTATATGAAAGATTTATAAGAATGTATTGATGTGATTCATTCAAAGGTTTAAATAATTGATAACGATATTATTATTACTTCAATTATTAATTAAAAACATCAATCGGTACAATCGGCCCTATAACTTTGATCTGACTGAATCTGTT